GAGTCGTGTTCCCCAGATGTGCTTCCCCAAATTGCGGATTCGAACTCCTGAAGAAAGGACCGACGACTACATTAGACAAGGCTAAATCAGTCACATAGCGACAATGTCTTCTAAGGCCTTCCAATCCATCCACTTCCATTCTACTGCCCGTCGCATATATTTGACGGACAAATTCTGAACCGCCCTAAAACTGTTCTAGTGTATCGAGCGAGCATCTTTTTAAATTACTTGAATCTCTGGCCCATTCGGACAACTTAAAGGAAACCCCACCATGATAGCATATTGTGTAAAGAAAATCAAATAAAATGGAATGATTTGCGCAAAAAGGTAGGACAAGAGCACCAATTTACATAGCTTATAACGGAGGATTAAAAAAATCTTTGACTCGTCTTTCCATATTATTGGTTAGGATACTACACTGGTAGATAAATTGACGCAATTTTCACCACATATTCCGAAATACGCTATTGGACAAAATTTAAGGAAGTGGAAAGACTTTGTTTACACTTGGTTATCTCGTGTGTCTTTAATAAAGGTCATTATGTATCAAATATCTTTCTCTCTCTCAAGAGTTTTTGTCTGAATTCTGATATACTAGATAAAAGATACAACTTAAGTTTTGTTCGTGAGTGTAATTTCAATTTTGTATTCGAATTCTGTGTGTACAACAATGTTTTTATCTCTACCACTAATGACAACAACAGAAAAGAAGCTTTATTAAGACATTTTGGTCTTATACAGATTCTCTGAGTAGAGAGAGAAACTATGGTTTAACGGGCTACTATAACCAAAGTGTATGATTTACGAGCCCAGAAGATGTAGAAGAGGGTATAAACAGGAATAACAGTAATAGTAACAATAATCAGCAATGTTATTTATAATGTACCAAATAGGGGGGTAAGAAGAAAGAAAGGGCTTGGGGTTGTTGTTGTTGTCGTGTCCAAAGAAGAGTCTCAGATGTCTCCATGCATCTCCATCACAGCAGCAGCAATATCCACTATCTTGGGTGTGTAAAGCTGCTGCTCTGGGTCTAAGTCAATTTTCTGCAAGACTGCGGCCATTGCTGGGCATGAGAATATGTGAGTAGGTGGGGCTTGAGGTGCAAACTTATATACAAGCAATCGAGAACAAGCAGTTTTCCTTTTCTTAAAGAACAATAATTAGTAGTGTTGAGACAGAAATTTAGATTGGTACAAGTGAAGAAGGAATATACAACAATGTATTATACATCAGACATCTATACAGTTTTATACATGGATGGATCAAGGGTAGAGTGTTGTCTAAAGTCTGAATATAAAGTCTTAGAGGTTAATACATTTGTTCATTCACCCAGTTGTTCAGTAGAAGCCAGCTATCTCAACCACTAATGTATCGAATGTTTTCGTCTCTAACAGCAATGTAAGCTCCACAGCGTGACGTCATGCTGTTAATTTGGATCTTGGATAAAGGCTGACGTAACAATTCCATTCTTTCAAGACTTTATGGAGCGTTCTAGGTGGTGGCCCGCAATTCGTCTTACTAAAAATCCCACAATGGGATTAAGAACTGGAAGATTTTGTTGAGGACTCCGGCTTGTCCTGTTTCTTTGACAATATGGGCAAGCATTAGAATTTTTCTCTATTATTTTTCGGGCATCACATCTTCTAAAACTTTAGAATTCTGTCATAACAAAAGTTTTTCCGCTTGTTTATTTGTATATTTAGAGGTTAGAAAAAAATTTGAAAAAATAATCAGATTGAGTATGAATATGAATAAAATCAGCTTCATTATCCTAATAAAAATATAAATTATAGATTTCTTATTAAATAATCTTAAGAAAACAATAAGCGATGGTAGTATAAATTATATCGGAAGACGAAGGAACTGCTCTACTTGGCCACCTATCGGAGTACCTCCACATCTTGTAAAACATCATAAAGCAATCAAATTCTACTTAGACGTAGCGTGTTCTAGCCAGTGGCATGTTTCTTAATTCACTAAAGACGTAGCTAGCTCTCAGTCTACCTCGCTTTCTACCTCCTGAACGAAGCTCGGATAGAACACGGCCTGTATGTCATAATAGCTTCAGTTTACAGTGCGCAAAAGGACCGCTCCTGGAAAGGGGAATTTAAAGTCTGATTCTATTCTTTCTCCAGTTTTAGATTCCTTATTCAGATAACTGCGCGTGAATTCTTTCCGAGTTACAGTGCGCAAAAGGACCGCTTCCTGAAAAGGGAAACCTAAAATCCGAATTTATTCTTTCTCTCCACAGTTTTAGATTCCTTTTTCAAATAACTGAGAACTTGAAAAATTCAAATTCTTCCATCGTGTGACCGCTTGTCGCTTTACAGCGAGCTTTCGAAGCCCGCTTCTGCCAGTCATCCAGGAAGAAAACAAAGCGGAATCAGCCATTTAATGATCAAATCTGACTGTGTCTCTTCTAAGATTTCTCATTACATCTTGGGAACAAACAAAAGCTTCCAGATATCCGTGAGAGTATTTCCATGCCATAAGTGTGCCCCCTGTAATGCCCCCTGCAAAACTAGGGGCAGCAGAATGGGTTAGAGGATTTCCGCCTGGGCCTAAAATTAATTAATTGTAAGTACAACACCGGTGATTGTGTGTGTAAATTTATGTGCAACTGCAATCCACTCATTATTCCCCTGTTGACCACAATGTGAGTTTGTGGGGAAAAGTCACAGAAATTAATGTGACGTGTGGCCTCTTTGACTTCCGAGACCACGCTAACTCGGTCTGTCCTCAATGGATTGGCACATCGCTACCACAGTACCTAGTGGGTGATCCACAGACTTGTGGCCAGCGCGTTACTGGCGAATTGAACTTGGCGAAATGGAAGGCGATATCGCGCGCTACCAGAAAGTGATCAGACTTTAATTTCTCACCTTTTTTTTTTTTTCATTTCACCCCACTATAAATTAACGTTAAATAAATAAGTAAACGTTATTTACAGGAAAACTCTCCCTTTGCATAACTTTTAAAAAAATATAGATTGTAACGTAGAAAATAGGACAATATGGAAAATAGATAAACTTCAGAATGACACGGCAATAAGGCCCAAACAAAATCAATATTTATAAGATACAGGATGAGCAGTGAGGGAAGTTTTCAGAGTATCTAGTAAAATATAAATAATATATAAATAGCAAAAAATACTAATCATAAAATACAATAAATACTTTACTCCAATTGACATAGACCCAGAGCAGCAGCTTTACACACCCAAGATAGTGGACATTGCGACTGCTGTGATAGAGATGTATGGAGACATCTGAGGCTCTTCATTGGACACGACAACAACAACTTTACTACAATATTATTTTCCATAGAACACGTGGTTACGGCCATGATAATCATGATGGGTGTTAGTTGTCGACTCCTTTTACTGTATGTGCACCATATGCCTACACATGTATAAAGCAGTTAAGACTTTTTGCACTTACCAGAAGAACACCGTTTGGTTACTTGCACTCACTTGGTGGGAGTTGGACAAGAATATTGGGAGCCATTGGAGCAATTTTCCCAAGTCGTGGCTGTAAGAAAACGAAGGTTTTAGACTATCACTCGTCCACCCTTGCATCGCCTAATAACTGACTGTTTACTTTAAACTGACCATTCAGAATGCGGTGAATGTCTTATTCATCCTAGCAGGGCTTGTTGGCTTCTTGGCCGTCAATCCACATTGGCCAAATTTGTAATAAAACGTCTAAGACCGCGGGTAACTTTCTACCTCTGGTTAAGGGCACTCATCAGATATACTCATGGAGAGAACTTAAGGATGTGGAAAGTCTTTTAATATCGCTGGCCGTCTTGTTTTTTTGGAGGAGACATAGGCAATTTTATTCATACTTGATTATCTCGTGTGTCTTCAATATAGGGTCACTGTATCAAATATCTTTCAGAGTTATTGTAAAATAAGTCGGTGGACGAGTGGGTTACACCCTCGATTCCCGACAGTCATGAACCGGGATTGAATCCCGCGTTAAAATTTTGTTTAATATGTGAATAACCTTCACATATTATTCACTGTTTCAATTATCATGAACTAGGTTGCTCTTGCTGAGCGGTACCTATTAATGTGATTTTGAACCAGGCAGAGTTATTGTCTGAATCCCGATATACATGCTAAAAGGTACAACTTTCTTTATATATTTCTTTGTCAGTGAGTTTAGAATTACAGTCGCGATAGTCTTATATTGTTTTTGAGTTTTAATATTTATATATTTCGTTCTCTCTCTCTTTTTAAAATATATCGACGTTTGAATCATCTACAATTAAGATTAAAATGCCTCCACTTAACAGAAAAATAGAGAACTGTTTTTGCAATGAAAAAAATGGGAAAATTTTTACTGCGTACATGTTTTTCGCGTGTTTTTCAACTGATTCCATGTTCATATAATTAATTAGTAACTTAAATTTTAAATTTTCTTCATAATATATTTAAGATTGTATGTTATAAGACAAGTTAGAAAAACTGCATAGTCCATTCAACATATGAGCTAAGGTTGTATTATGGAATTTCACACATATTGTGTTAAATAAACACCTTTGTGATTAAATGAAGCGGGTTACTTGGACACGGCATGTTTGTGCCATCATGGTGTCCGTCAATCGTCACATGTGCACCAAGGGAGGAAGTTCTAGGCGCCACAACAACAGCTCCGCCGTCCCTCCTCCCAACGGCCCAAACCGGTTCTACCTGTACCCGCCGCGGCGCTGCCATCGATTGGCGCGGCCAGCGTCAGTGGGCCAAGGACTCTCCAGCTGCTGGCAGCGGGCCAACTACCTGTTGTGTGGACTTCCTACCCCAGCTTGTTGCTGGGACGTTCCTTTACAAGGCTGGAATAAAGTTGAATGTTTGTAGAACGACATTTGAAATTATCCCGCATGTTGAACGGAAAATAGAAATTTATTTTAAGGAGAAATAAACGATTATTTCTAACCTTAGGGATGAAGTATAAAAGGATGAATTGTGAAGAATAATGATAAACGGAAAAACAAAGTGTACAGGGATGGGAATCGAACCCACAGTTTTCCGCTTACCGGGCAGATGCCATCCATGTCCACTAGGCTACCCTGGACACTTTATTTTTCCATTCGTAAATATTATATAAAGTAATTTATAATATAATATAATGCGGTTTATGATTGTAGAACGATGTTTGAAATTATCCCGCATGTGTTTCTTTTGAACGAAAAATCGAAATTTATTTTAAGGAAAAATAACGATTATTTCTATCCTTAGGGATGAAGTATGAAAGGATGAATTGTGAAGAGTAATGATAAACAGAAATGTTTGTTTGTCTTGGAAGTGCGACAATATCCTATCAAAATAGATTTGATCATAACCGACAGGAACATTTCGGATGATCAGGAATCCAATAAATAACTACCCGGATTGTCGCACGCACGTCACCCTTGCGTCACAGATTAAAGTGAACCTGGAAAATCCGATTTTGTTAATACACCTGTTCCCATTGATTGCCATCTGAAAACTTGGCGTGTAAGCTAAAATGGTTAAAAATTATTTACGCTCTGGTACAATTGGAGTATGGGATTATCCATATCGTTGACTTCTTAAGGAATTATTCAGTTCTAAGAGCGTTTGTGGTTTATCGAATCGCAAGGCAATGCGACAAAAATACCGTTAATTCAATACCATGTTGTATACGTTTGTACCGTAGTTTCCTCTCTTTTGGAAGTATTGGGTGTGGTAAACGGAGAGGTAGTTCATCAGCGTTAGGTTTGGCATCAAGTCGTCGAGGCGTATTTTCGAGATTTGACTCTCCACGATTTCAGACGGATTCTTAGAAGGTCTTAGATGTTTGATGCGATTAAGTTTTATTAAGGCCAAACACCCCTCTGTGTATTGCAGAGAGAGCTATTAAAGTGATGACTTCAAATGATAATTTCCTCACCAGAGCAGGATGTGAGGTTTAAAGCCGCCGACCTAGGGCAGAGATAGAGGGAGCTATTCAAATCGACGGCTATCGTGTCTTGATACGCCATCTTATGTAACCCAGGCGGTGGTTATCTCGCCCACGGAAGGAAATGCCACGGCGGCCCTCGGATAGCTGTTTGTAATCTCTCTCCCAGAGCGGCGGTGGCGGGGAATGCTAGCTTGGATCACTGCTCGTGTTTTTGGTTATCTATAAGCATGTTATTAAGCTGCAATTTAAATCTGTGACCTAACGCCTTTTTGAAACTATTCCGAATGTCCCAAAATGACATAATGATTCTCTCCTGTATAAACTAAATGACTGATGAATATATCTTATATCAATTAGGGAGGATCAGAAGATGAGTTTCTTTTATGATCCTCCCTAATTGATATACCTTACTAGAAGAGTCTTTCCCTTTAATATATCTTATGAGGGCTGGTGAAGAGAGGAGATCTTGCGGGCTATGAGGCTGGTGAAGGGAGGTCTTGCGGGCTATGAGGCTGGTGAAGGGAGATCTTGCGGGCTACGAGGCTGGTGAAGGGAGATCTTGCGGGCTACGAGGCTGGTGAAGAGAGGTCTTGCGGGCTACGAGGTTGGTGAAGGGAGGACTCGACTTTAATTGCCTCCACGATACTGATGGCTGCTGAGTCAAGCCGACAATTGACTCCGGGTCCATCAGCATGACTAATGGCTGCCGGCCTGCCTTCTTTACCATTTTGTTACTGTCACTTCTCCCAGCTAGCCGAATTTTACCATTTTGTTGCTACACACATCCAGCCAGCGGTTTCCTATCATCCCATCTTGATCCATGTGAGTGTCTCGTGGGCGTAGGTTCGTTCATGTTTCGCCACTGACCGCCGATGTCGCCAAGTTGACAGGGAGCCAAATAAGCTTGGCTGTGGGCGTAGGTACTTCATCGGACCAGCCAGCCGCCCTCTCGGCGCGAGAGGCTACCAATAAGCTGCCATTTAGCGCAGTTATCAGAGAGCGAGAGTGTTGCCGCAGGTTGCAACCTGCTCTTGCTGCAATCCTCCTCGGTGGCCCCTGCCGCCAATAAGGTCACCACAGACCTTAAAAGCAGGTAATAAGGTCAAGGTCGAAACTTGAATAGCGCTCCGATCAGATGTTTCAAAGTCCTTGGTTTGAAGCCGTTGGATCGGAAACTTCGTGGCTAGCATAGTTGTCGAGGCGGTTGTTCTTTCATTACCTATTATTGGTTGGTTGCGCTCGCTGGTGTTGATGTTGTGTAGGAATAATAAGTTATGGAAATATTTTAAAACTGTAATTTGTATTTTAAAAAAATATTTTTTTTATGTGATTGGAACCCGAGGAAGCGATAACTAGAGCACTACAAGTAATGTACTCGTAGTGTCGTCCTTGGCATTTATTGAATCGTGCTGTCAGAGCTTCTACTTTCCTTTCTGGAGATGGATTTTATTTCTTTAGAGGGTTCTCAGACTAAAGCCGGAATAATTTTGTTCTCTTTAACCCAAGATTTTTTCACACATAATGCTCCGCTTGTTCCTTACTGGCCGAAATATTATAAATGACAAACTATTCTATATAGTGCGACGTTTCTGTCCTCAGCCGGGATTTCCTACGTGCACCTTGAGGCTGAAATGATCGGTTTTGTGGAGAGGGATAACAACATAGCCAACGTCCTGGAAGTTCATTGCATCGTAAACTTTTGTCATAGCTCAAGTCACTGGTGTACTAGAGGAGGTGGAAAGCCAATCAGCTCACTAAATGGATTCAGTAATGCTAGCACAAAGTGGACGATGGCATCTTTGTACTCTGAGAACGGGACTAGAGGAATCATTGATTTCTTGTACACACAAAGCAAAAGAAAATAATCCAGCAAAGAGACTACTTGGTTCTCTTCATTTACTATCCGCTCTTCCATTAGCCGGGGTCGGAATAATCCCAGCCGGGCTCTTATCGACTTTGTTATCGCGTCGTCTTCTGCCCGGAACGGTATCTCCTCCTGGTACGGTGGGGTTGATGGTGGCCCACACATGCCCATTATCCATCTTCACTTAGATTGTGTTACAAACCTAACCCCCGGCGAAGGAAAATACTTCTGCAGATTCTACCTTGATCAGGAGAATTTTATATAACGGGTGTTGGACCTATTCAAAGTAATATCTCCGTTCCAGCACCAAATAAATACTAACAGAGATTATTTTAAATATTAATACAACTGGATAATACAGTCGATCTTGGACAATTCGAAGCCCAAGAGACAAAAAAAAAATCGAATTATCCAAAAATTCGAATTGAAAACGTAAATTCTATTTATAGGAAATTCTTGATACCAAGATAAATATTCCAATTAAAGACGTTTGAATTATCCAAGTTCTACTGTATTAGAGAGTTGTAACACCTCTCGAATTATCCAAGTTCTACTGTATTAGAGAGTTGTAACACCTCTCGAATTATCCAAGTTCTACTGTATTAGAGAGTTGTAACACCTCTCGAATTATCCAATTTCTACTGTATTAGAGAGCTGTAACACCTCTCGAATTATCCAAGTTCTACTGTATTAGAGAGTTGTAACACCTCTCGAATTATCCAAGTTCTACTGTATTAGAGAGTTGTAACACCTCTCGAATTATCCAAGTTCTACTGTATTAGAGAGTTGTAACACCTCTCGAATTATCCAAGTTCTACTGTATTAGAGAGTTGTAACACCTCGTTGTCGAACAGGATCCTTTTGGTATCCATCGCTAGCTTCTGTTTTAATGGCATCGTCCACTTTGTGCTAGCATTATTGGATCCATTTAGTGAGCTTTCCACCTCCTCTAGTACATCAGCGACTTGAGCTATGACAAAAGTTTACGATGCAATGAACTTCCACGATATTGGTTGCGTTGTTATTCTTCTCTACAAAACCGATAATTTCAGCCTCTGGGTGCTGAGTGACGATCTTGGATGGGCGCTGGTTTATCGGTATAAAATACGTGTAACTACAATTCCTGTAGTTCTGGATGATTCACGGAACCGGCCAGGTCTTGAGACCTTGGTGCTGGTAGCATCCAGAGTCCGCGTGGACCGATCGCAACTCGCACCAGGACTTTTTCTTCGATTTTTTTTTCTTGGATGAATATGACGTCCTATCAAAAGTAGAGGGGGGTTTATAATGACCACTATTTCCACTGAGTGGGTGAAATAATGCCGACTCAATCTAGAAAGAAATTATGATCTCGATCATCACTCATTTTTGCCAAAGAGTTCTTGATTTAATTTCATGCTAGAGAATTCTGGCTCTTACCTATATTTAAATCCTAACTTGAATATTTGATGAACATGTCTTACTATGTGGCCTTCAAAGTTTTTTCAGCATTTCTGTTCAAAATTCTATCTTTCTTTTTGAAAAATATCTACAGACCTCTGATCTTTGCTTCCGTTAGAACTTTCGCCCTCTCTCTCTCCTCAACCCCCTTAATCGTTTTTCTTTGAAATCACACGCAAACTGATCCAAAAAGCTGTGTATTGTATCTACGCCGTGACTCTCCACTTTCCTCCATATATAACACCATATTGTGTATGCTTTTTCAACACGCCAATTAGGTTTGTAAAATTTGCTCACACGTGTTCCCACTATCTCGATCCGAAGGCCTTTTCTCTTCCATTGATTCGAACAATTTAGTTACCATTTACGATTCAGCTTTACATGCACTTTCATGTGGCACAGGCGTCAATTTCAAATCCGTGTCCAAGCTTTTTTTTTCCTAGAACACCTGTTACTTCTGCACATTTCACGTCATTATAACGTCGTGGTTGGACACAGCCTTTGTATGGGGCTGTTGAAGGTTTTAACTTGGGATGAAAACTTCCAATAGCTGCACCGATTCTCAACACTCCTCATTCATAGCCGTCTTCAAGTCTGTTTATTGCCCTCTCCAATGGCATCGATGGAGGTTTCTCCAACTTGTAATCTCTCTTTAGAAATACCGCCCACGGCAAGGAATTAACACCAAAGCGGAGCTAACTAGCATATTAAAAATCCTCCAAACTGTCAGAAAAAAAGCGTGGAACAGCGGACGAGCGAGCGAGCCTCAGGGTCCGGTGGGGTAACCGTTGGGCAAGGTGGCCGAAACTGTGTAACTGGGTATTCGGCTCAAGATCAGTGACGTCAGG